ATCCTGCGAATGTCCAACAGCCAAACTCCCTCAGGAACTTCAAAATTACGACTAAAACGCGCTCATTGATTCACCACATGGGGCAACGGGCTGCAAATTCAAGGCATAGTTTTTTTCTAAGATAGACCACACAAGAGCTGAGAACATGTATCATTTTGAAATTAAAATCTCAGGATAGTTGGATTCGAATTCGGGTTCTAATTTGAAATCGGAATCAACTTGAATGCAGTCAACACTTTGGATAAAAATTTCGTACAGATAAGGCAGCAGTAATAGCCTTATTCCTGGGGGAAAAACCATGAGAATGGAGATATAGATGGGTTGGTATTTTGGCAACATTCTTTATCGAAATAATAGAAATAATGACTTCTGCCTTTGTTTCGATAAGTGCATGTTGCCGAAATATCGACCCATTGGACCTCCATTCACATGGCTCTTCTCCGAGGAATAAGGCTATTACTACTGTCTTATCTATGTGAAAAATGTTCCTCGCAAATGCACTGAACACCTTAGATAAATATTTCGAGCTAATTCAGTGCGATCAAAGGAAGGGCGAGCAGCTCTTTCCGACAAAGAGCCGATATTAATGCGTTGCACTTTGTTCATCTGGAGGAAATGTAAACCAAGATCGTATTCGACACCTTTATTTGCATATTTAGATGACAGCTTTCAGGATGTGTTTTGGTTTTTTTCATTTGAATCCTGATTTTCCAGCCTATGATTCTGGTTTTGAAGGTTCGAGGAGTTGCAATGTTCGAATCCATTCGAATCTTCTTATATTATGAAAACTCGAATTCTCAGCTCTTGAGCATACCTTTATTTTTGCTGTCAAAAACCTTGCGTCTTGCAATCACCTGGCTGTTTTTCTATATGCTAAACAAGCCGTGGCTTATCATATCTCTGGCCCACGCAAATGTTATTCGATTCATGCGACCATCTTTTGAATAAACGACCGAATCACATAATATCACCGGCCGCAAACAATGTTAAACGGCCTTAAAAGCTACAAGCATGTAATTTTTACTACATTCTCAAATAAATCATTCGGAACAGTTAGTAGCTTTGCATGCAGACGCATCGCCAAGTTAAGCGCTTGTTTATGATGAAAAATACCAGGTCTAGGTAGCTGTCACTGAACAAAACAAACTGCACACCTGTTGACAACTGTCCGTACAGGCATCGGCTGATGTCTTGCTCAGAACTTTGCTTTCAATTCCGATCTAGTGAGACAAAACCATGGCATAATTCTCACCCAGCACTTTACCAAGCCAGTCAATACCACTTACTGCGCAAAAATCATCAAAGGTTTTCGATCCCTTTCGCTTGGGGCGCCTGTTCTTCCTTCGTTTTCAGTGCCTGTCCACCCACAACCATCCGTGCATTCACTCAGAATCTCGGTACAGCCACCTGCATGATGGCAACCACGGTTTCGTGCTACCCGTTCAACGAGTCCCGCATGGCTCGTCTTTTAAACCGTCGGCCCGAGGATCCCACGAGCATACACCAATAATTACGACTGAGTCCCTGTCCCATTAGCTCTACCTGCAATAGGAGGTGCTTGGTCTCATTGTTTCATGCTCTACCATCTCTAGTCCAGCAGTTGTAGACAGATCGCAACCTGTTTGCGTGCAACCGCCTTCGGCATATACTCGTAGCTGAGAGGATGTGAGCTAGATCAGACCAAGCTGCCTCTGCCTCTCCCGGCTCTTGGGTCGCGACCCAACCTCTTGTGACCTGTCGCCAGGCCAGGAGCTACCACTCGTCCTACATGACGCCCTCCAGAACGAGCCGCTATGTGCCGCCGCCCAGGATCACTACCACCTACTCCAGCGAACTGCACCCTCGCTATCCCAGGGTAAGAGGTCGACGCCGGGGCCGGGTGCGGTCAAGGCCGCGCCGCACCCAGCCAGCCAGCGTCCTGGCCAATCAGCGAGTCGCCCGACGTGACGGCCGGCTCGCTGATTGGCTGACAAGCGGTGGGGCGTGGCGTGGCCGGAGGACCGCGCCCGGACTCGACACACTCGCTCAACTTGGCTTCTCGTGCCAGGGCTGGGGGCTGCAGCTCTCGAAGACGGCTTTGTTGGCAGGATGGGTAGGACACAAGCCATTACCTATGCGTCGGTTTGTACATTTGTCACAGCCTTGAGTTTTTTTTTAGACCTGGCCCGGCAGGAAAAAATGACGAGGGATTCCCGACCACTCCATTGGACAGCTGAACAAGCATGCTGGAAATCTGGAACGAACGAGGCAGTAAACGCGATGTGGGGTAGCTTTGAGTCAGTCTGGCGGCCCGTGAACCTCAACTGGCGCGTCTCATTCACACTGACTGGGTTGACATCTTTGGGATGTCCCTCGATGCTGTGCCGACACAGCAGCGGAGCCTGTCTGTCCGGCTGCACTCAGAGTCACGAGGATACGCCGCGACAGCTCGGTCACCCAGCGGTATTATCCGGGAGCTTCGTCATTCCGGATGCCAAATGACAGCTAAATCACTCATGGGTTCATTCAGTACTAACAGGAAGGCAGCCCGTAGACAGCCCGTGGTGACAGGAGTGAGGACGACCTAACGTCACTTGTATTGCCACGGAAGTATAGGAGTGGCTCCTATTGTGAAGGTCCTTTGAGGAATGTCTCATTCCTTCTGCTTAATCGAGATAATGCGTGCCGCTACCAGCTGGCTCCTTCACGTTCAGTCCGATTCTCAGTCACCGAAGCCCTGCGCCATTTGTATGAGCTGTTCGGTCTGCTGCACCCAGTCCCCGAGAGGGCCAATAACTGGCGGAGAGAGCGCTCGCTGCAATGTGCCTTCTCGCTCGCGCGTCGCATCACTCGAGTCGGCACGCCTAATGCCACCGCTGACGTACGAACATCCGACTGGCGCCTGTCCAACGCCGGAGCCATTCTGTGAATCTGTCTCATCCGCGCCTGGCCGCAGACGGCGCACTTGACAGCTGAGGTGTCGTTCTGCCTGCCTGTCCACAGAGCAGCGACGTTAACGAGAGGGTGGTGAAGCGAGTGGAGCGAGTTGTCGAGACCTCGTCGTCCACGCCCCGCTTCTATTAGATCCTCCCCACACCACGCCTTCCCAGACCCCGCCCTCTACCTTTGCATGCTGCTAACCGCATTTTGAGTAGTTGAAACGTTTCTGACTAAACTAGTTTCGTATAGATTTACGGCGTGTTTGGGAGGTACGTAGGTCCACGGTCTCCAAAGGGAAGGCATTGCGAGTTTGAATGAAGGAACACCCCCAAAGCTAGTTTTTTGCCTTGGGAGTAGTATGCATTATTCTTTTTTTTGCTTTAAAATTTACAAATGTTCTACGCCATCGACTTTTAGTGGGTCTGGGAAGTTTCAACAGTCTGCTACTGGCTTTCTGTAAATATGGCTATTATTAACCCGACTTTTGGGTAAGTCATATTTCTCGACACAAAATCACTTTAACACGCCAGGTACGTAGGTACGGGTACGGTGGGTTGGGAGGTACGTATGTCCACGGTCTCCAAAGGGAAGGCATTGCGAGTTTGAATGAAGGAACACCCCCAAAGCTAGTTTTTGCCTTGGGATTAGTATGCATTATTCTTTTTTTTTGCTTTAAAATTTACAAATGTTCTACGCCATCGACTTTTAGTGGGTCTGGGAAGTTTCAACAGTCTGCTTCTGGCTTTCTGTAAATATGGCTATTATTAACCCGACTTTTGGGTAAGTCATATTTCTCGACACAAAATCACTTTAAAACGCCCCCACGTCAACCTGCTGGGCAATACCTGAAAATTACTCTTCCAACGGAGTGGCCAGATCGCGGTCTCCATGAAGTCCTCAGCAAATGTCTTCCTGACGACTTCGTAGTCAAACACCTGACACACACGGAGCCCTCGAGAGCACGAGGGATGCATGCACCATCAGACATCCTCTACATTCTCTAACTTCCAGCGATAAGCGTCGTTCACACGAAGCCAGCTGCCATCTATCTCGCAGAATCCACACGTCGGCACGTCGTTCTATTTCGTCTCGGCCTCGGCTGAGAACGGTAACGTTATGTTTCGTCTCGGCCTCGGCTGAGAACGGTAACGAGCGCATCCGAATGAGCTTATTGGCGTCTCCACGGAGCCGTGCCGCGTCCCATCGTCCTTTGTGACCTGCCCAGCCTGCCATCCGGCCATTTTTTAGCCAATTTCCGCCGGCGGCCGCCCCGACCTCGTCCTGGTCGCCATGGCAAACCGTCCGACCCGACCGCCGTCGCCCTCGGCCGGCGGTCCGCCGGCCCGGCGCAGCCCTCAGGCGCTTCCCGTGTAACCCGGGGTCGTGTACTGCAGGGTGAGGAGGACGATAGCGACCCGGTGCCCACGGTGAGTGTCGCACTTCATCGGCGCGCTTCTCTCGCTGGCTAACCCCGTCCCAGCCCGGCCAAATGTCGGCCGGTCTGCCGCTGCCTCCGCCGATGCTGCCGCTGTTGCTGCCGCTGCTGTCTTCAGTAACGACGGGGCTGCTGGTGGTGCCGCTGGTGATTGCGGTGCCTGCTGGTGGTGTTAGTGATCACTGCCCGCGCAGATGGTGTCAGTGTTGTGTGCTTGCGTGCTCCCATGTGGTGATTTACACATGTGCGGGCCGTTTAACATTCGTCGAATGCTTAATGGTTGTTCTATTTCAGATTCCATCTTGAGTGATCTATACATACCCGCTCTGCACCCAAACCGTCCGCTGGTCCAGCACAATCGATGCACAAATAAACCGCTGATGTTATGGAACTGCTTGCTTCGCTCAATAACGACATTACGGAGAACCATGCGTTGCTTTTGCGTTACGTACGGGAGCTAGCGAATGGTGTCCACGGTAAACAACAGATATTGACTATGATCAGAAGAGATACGAGTAAAGGCAGGAACTAAGCAAGGCATCCTCCGAACTGTCATCCTCAGTGTAGCATGGTCTACTTGGCCTGCGCTGCCGCTGGCCCGTGAGCCGCCTGTGAGCGGGCCCGTGACCTCCCGGCGCCTCGGCAGGCGGGCAGCTACCTGAGGAGCGTCCCGACTGTGGCCCACCAGCGCCTGACTCCAGTCTCCGTGCCGGCTTACTCGTCGCCGGCAATGCCGTACTATCTGTGGGAGCCGGAGGATGTCGTGGTGCTGCCGCGCCGGCGCACCCTCGCCCGGTTGTCGGACGAGCTCGACGACGACCCCGTGCTGAAGGTCAGGGGTCAGCAGGGCTGTGACGCCAGGCGGAGGGGTGGCAGGTCTCGGTCGGAGAGGTATGGCGTGTAGCTCGAGTATAAGATCGTTGGATCAACAAGCCAGTGCTCGCAGGACATGTGATCAAAGTCGGGAAGCGGACCAGAGATGACATGTCAGGGGTTACGGGCCCCAGTCATCTTCAACCCAGCTTCGTGGTGCAGAATGGCACGCATTAGCAAAAATGCAAGCATCAGGTTTGCTGCAAAGCGTAAAGCCTGCTGATAACAAATACCTACCTGGTCGTGATGAGAACATGATAAGCCTGAAGCGCTGGATAGAGAGGAGTGACATGCTGCTTTGGGGAGTCCTGTAACACACGCTTCTTTTGCCTGTTTTTCTTTTTCACTTCCTTTTTTGCTGCTTATTCTGGCACATCTTGCTGGTTCTTAATGAATCAAGTGGGTGCCTTCCGCTTCTACATTTTGTTCTTAGCCTCACTCAGGCATTTCTTATGCTCACTTTTGCTTTTGTTGTGCATGCTATGCGTCGACTTTTGCTTGAAAGCTGGATTTTTCTTTGCACGGCCAGCCCAGCCCTGGATCTGCCTGTGCTAACTGCTGTTCGAACTGCGGAACTCCCAAGCAAACGTACCAAGTCACTTACGTATCGCGGCCAGCCCCCCAACTGAGGCCGGTCATTACCGGCCCTTTTGTGAGCGGCGAAGATGAGCTGCACAGCGTAAGTTGCCCCATCGAAACCGCCGTGAAAGCGTCTAGTGTTTATGAAACGTTGTCTCTCATGTTCCATCTCACCAGCATCGTTCTCAATGCTTGACGATGCCAGCAGAGCATTCAGCGTGCTTTCCAAGAGCTCCGCTCGTGTGTCCTTACATTGCGATGCGTGTATCCGTGCTGACGAGCCGCCCCGCTTCACTCGGGCGCGCGCCTTGCAGTGGTACGAGGACCGCATCCACCACGCGCAGGCCGAGGCCATCGCCAACGCCAACAAGCGCATCAGTGACCTCTGCACGCCGCGGCCCCGCCACATCTCGGTCGTGCCGCCATACACGCCCAAGTCAGTACGCGGTGTGTTCCGCATCGAACGTTCCAGTTAGGTTAGACTGTGTGGTGCGCATGGGTGGCGACAGGGCAGTCGTCAACGCGTCTGGGAAACCAGGGGTGAGCGGTGCAATTCCCCGTGGCACCCACCCTTCCTGCCAGGGTGGGAGGCAGGCGACGCCATAAAGCCTCAGCGGCTGAGTGCATCTCAGAGCCCCAATGACAAGAACGTGCTCCTTACGCTCCCCAACCAGCAAGCGCATTCTCTCTCATTGGTATGCTCCACACACTCCGAGTCCACGAGCCCACTGCCGCTCTAGGACACCGCATGCGCTATTTCCGATGACAGCCGCTGCCGCTGTCTGGGGAGCCCCTGACAGCCCTGATTTGTCCGGCCATGATCTAGTGTGATAGACAGATTTTGCCCTTGTGACGTCATGTGGTGCCACAAAATCTGGCTGACGTAATGCGAAAGCTGCGGTGCGAGGGATGGACTCCCTGCTATGTGGTGAATGTGTTTTTCTGCCATTTCGTCTCCGATGTTTTTGCTATGGAGATTCTTAGGTTTTTGAATGATGAAAGATCACTTAACACGGAAAAATGTCGTGACAAGGTTCTGGTAAACCAGTCTCATAATGCTGAACTTTATCTAAGAAAGGCGGAGACAAGCTGTCGGCCGTGGGCCTTCCCAGGTCTGAATTAGGACAAAACCACTGCCAAGCATTACATTCGTGCGCTCAAAAAGCATGCGCACTTATTCACAGGGACAGTCTATTATGGGTCATCCGAACCTTTTATCCTCCTGTCTTGTCTTTTCCTGCGTCCTCGTGACACCCCGCCTGTCTGGTGGAAGCTGCATGCTTCAGTCACGAGTGGGCCCCGACCGGGCGCCCAGAGCACACTCCGAAGAGTCCCTGCGCGGGCTAAGGCCCGGCGGTTGCTCCCCCCCCCCCCCCCCCCCCCCGGGGCATGTGGACCGTCCCCAACGTTATCCATTCTCCTCCATCCCATAGCCCTGAAATGATAATTTCTGGTCGAAAAGACTCTAATAAAAAACAAACCATCTTGGGCGGATTAGGTAGGGTTCATATGGGTAGCCACCGACGACCATATTGAAATATCATTATGTTAATAAAGATATGACACCCTGGTTATTAGATACATGAATACCCTAAATACATGAATGTCTTTCACGTTTGTACGTACTACTGTACTACCACTTAATTATGCGTATTTGGATGGGACTTCATGATGATTACATTAATGTTGCACAAATATTATGTTAGACAATTGCAGGGCATCATAATTCGCATGCTTTGCTGCTTACGTGGGGATAGCTCTACCTGGCTCTAGCTTTGAGTTGAGCCCCACAAAGTACAGCAGGGACATGCCCTATTAATCGTCATATACGAGGGGCTCGCCAAATGAGTTGGGGACGGACTAAGCTGTGTAAAATGGCGCAATACTCCCCTTAAATACGTCAACAAACATGTTTCGTCCCCGGATTTGGCCAAATTTCTTCTGACTAGGAAACTAAGACACCAGCTAAACAATTGATTTTTAACAGAATTGATAAATAACATTATATGAATACAAATTCAGGATTAAATCAAGTGCACATAAAAAGCGTCTTGACCCACGTTTGTGCGAAATCTAGCACATGGTTATTGCGTAAAAACATTACCGTGGGCACATACGTCCATCAATAAGTCCACGAACGTAAACTGAGATAACCAGCAAGCTCTCACCTTGCATGGCGGCAGACAAAGCACAACTTGTCTGAGCTCTTCTGAGCTTGCAGAAATGCTTGCGTTGTAAGCATTCCATGCAGGCGAATTGCGTGGTAGACATGGCAGCCACACCGTTGGTAAAAGAAGGAACAGTTGCGCAGTTCCCCTGTGTAATTCCCTGTATAATTACCCTGTGACAGTTGCGTAATTCCCCTGTATAATTAGTGTTCCATTTTGAGGATTTTCTATGGCTTGTGCGTCACGACTTGAACCTGAGGAAAGCCCAGGTCCGGAGGCCTGTCTCCGCTATTTTTCGACAAGGTTTGGCATCATGAGGTTATGGATTGTCATTACCCTGTCATGTCCGTTTAATCACGCGTCCCAGACCAGTTCTCCGTCATATCATGCAAATATGCCAGTTCGTCTTGTGCTGCTGTAACTCGATTCCGGCGTTGAACGCATGCATAGTTGATATGTAACTAATACATCTAAAATTCACGGCGTAATTGTGATTGACGTGTGATGCGGTGCTTATGTTTAATCATGAATGACTTACAGCAGCCACGATATGCATTCTTTTCTTCGCGTTGACTGTTTAGTGGGCAATTTTACGAATGCGCTGATTCTGGCGCGCTGCACTTGATATGTTCGAAGTGGTCACGACAGCGTCCAGATGCGGTATCTAGGCCGCGCTGGTGTATCCCGGGCAGGATTCTTCATATCCGTTGACGTGCACGGCATCTTACACATCACTATATCTGCGGGACGCAGACAATGCGTGCAATACCAGGTCCCTGACGTCAGCAAGAAGACGTCGTCTCAGATTGATTAATGTATGTCGCTTTTTATTGGAAAGCCGTTTTGTCCACCTGTACCATATGTCCCGCCGGCGCCCTTCACTAAGCACCAAGCGCACGCTGTATCACATGGAAGTGTCCGAGAGGTCGGCTGCCCCGGGGCCGTTCAGCGTGAAGCCCTGTCTGCTCGGTCGTGAAGCCACGCAGCGGCGCCGCGGGCAAAATGTCGGCTTCTTTGGCGGACGTGGTGCTTCTCGCGTGGGTTCCTAGCTCGGCTATAGTGCGGCACGCAATCAGACACGAGCGAGCCGCACGGCGGAGAAGGGCTGAATCGAACGGCGTAGTCACAACACCTGCCAGCTGACTGGCGGCTCCCTACACGTGCTCGGAGTTCTCTCGTGACAGGTGCACTGTGGGGCAGGCCGACGTCAGAACGCATTGCGCAGCGACGTCACTTTGCAAAAACACCGCAGAGATACTGCAGAGAGCCTTCACCTTTCGCGTCCAGTCCAATAACGTGTGTCCGGCCATTCGAAAACAGCATGTGTGCGTGCTCTTCCAAGTGTCTTCCAGCTTCATTTTGTCCACCCGTCCAGACCACGTCCGCGCGTAGGCGCCACAAGGCGCCATGCGGGCCTTCATTATCCAGAGCGTCTAACGCCAGATCGCTCACGCACAGACGCTACAAGGAGCCGGTCAGCTCGCAGTACAAGTACAGCAAGTACCGACCCCCGATCACCGAGGACATGAAACCCATCCGGCGAAACATCGAGATCAAGTCACGCTTCGACAAGGCGCAGAGCGCCGCCCAGAACGATTACAAGCGAATGGGTACGTCATATCGTCCCACTCGCGCCGCTTTGCGTCACTCATAGCTTCGCGCTGCCGTGTCTAGCGCGCAGTTAACCGTGACGCAGTACAGTGCATTACTCCTTCAGCCGAACCCCATCAATAATTTGACGCCTGTACATACGCGCTGTCATCCGAGCACTAAAATGCAATTTGGCGCTAATGTTGACCACTCCCATCTTCCATTAATCTTGCGACTTTCCATTAACCAGCGGTAACAACGCCTGACGTGAAATGCTGCGGTGTGGGCGAGATACGTCCGCTCCCAAAGCTGCACGCTCGCGAGGGGGGTGAGGCTGTGACTGCTCGCTCGCTAGCTTCGAGGCCACTCGCGGGCCCATGGGGAAGTACTAAGTTCGATTGAAGGTCCTTGTTCCGTTCCGGCTCATGCCTAATTCAACTACCCATTAATTGGGGTTTACATTATTTCTTTTTTCAAAAATCAAATTCGAACCCTTTCGAACGGCTGGACTTCTAGGATCAGAGCTCGCGACTAGCAGTGCTTGTCGTGTGGACTCTGACCCCTATCATATCTGACCGAGCGATGCCGAGCCAACGACAGAACGGCACATTAACCTCATCTTCTGGCCTGATCCATGAAATGATAGCTCATCATCGAACCCGCACATGCACTTGTTCCCTAAAAACACCAGACATTCTAAACTGACACGAATTAAGCTCCTTCGATCGGACCGAGTCCTAGCCCTCGGACGCGAATACTATTAGAAGCGCGCCGGCCGGCCCAGCTCGACCGCTGACCGCTGGCCGGGCGGCGCCGCCTCGCCGGGGCCCACTAACCGCCGCCGGTGGCCGGCCGTCCCGAAGGATCCGGCCACCTGGCCTGCGTGAGCCTGCTGGGCGGCCGGGTGGTGTCGAAGCGGCCGCACTCGCGCTTCTACAGCGGCGAGCGCGCCCGCTCGCAGGACATGGCCGCCCGCCTGCTGCCGCTGGCCGCGAGACGACCCGGCCCACTCGCACCGGAAAAGTGAGGCCGGCGGGCGCGGCGGGCGCGGCTCGCCCGGGCCGCCGGGCCGCTCGTGCGTGCCTGCGTGTGCGTGTGTGGTGCGCGTGGCGGCGGGGTAGTCTGGCCGCTCCGTGGATTGCTGTGCACGCGACGGTAAAGAGGCTCGCTTAGCTGAGGCGGCGCCTGCAGCCTAGCATCAGCCTAGCTTCAGCCTAGCGCCTGCAGCCAGTCTAGCGTCGATTGCGTCTTGAGTACCCGCTGACACCGGGCTAGCTAGCGCAGCCTGTCCGTGAGCTTCAGCCGGCCTGCGCCGCCTGAAGCCGGCGAGGCCGGCTGAAGCTCACTGACCCGGCGTGGGAAGCGTGCCGCCGGCGGACCCTGACCCGTCGTGCATGTCCATAGGGGACTGTGCTGAACGTTCCACGGAACAGAGCGCGTCCAACATCAAGCCCGGGGCTCCAGAGACGTCAGCTCAGGAGAACTATTGTACGTACCGCTGACGACAGGCCAAGCTCACGATGTGCGCTGAACAAACCTTCCATGAGTGCGACCGTCCATCTTCTCTGTGCTTTCGTTTTACCTGAGAGGCTCGAGCTCGCCCTGCGGTTCGGAACTTCAACACGGCTCCCCACGGACGCTGTCTGAAAATATTTGACTCCGAGCCCAGCGCTTCCCTCCCCCTCCCTTCAACGATCTGGACGAAGTTATCATCTCTCGACAACTGTTTACACGCGGATAGATAACTCTACGACCAGAATAGCTGACCGTCTACCGTGAAGCACTAACTCCGACCATACCGCCTCCCTCCCCCCCCCCCCCCCCCTGCGTAGGACGACTGACCACAGCTTTAATTAGGTGCAGCTGTATGACGACCCCACGACCTATCCAGACATTCCCATATGAACGACTCCGCAACTTTAATGACCCATTGCGCTTTATTTATGAGCTCAGAGTTCGTAAGCGGCGGTTGCGGTTATAGACTTTCAATGTACTGAGAGGCGCTGGCTGGCATCGCTTTAAACCAGCACCTCATGGGGCATGGGAAGTCAGTAGCTGTCAGCATAGAAATCCTGGCTCAGCAGAAAAAACACCGCAGAAAAACAGGAGCTCGAGGCTTTTTTGCTTATATCGTGCTCCATTCATACATGGATTGCTGCTTTGAAGACCTGCAAGCATTTCTTTTCGTCTTAGACATAGCGAGTTTTTCGCTATATGCCTCCGGCTATTTCTATTCTTTTGTTTACCGGCCACTACCGCTCAACGCATTATATCTTTCCTAACCGACAATGGATGGTGGATGCCAAGTCAACAACGGTGCTGTGAGTTGCTCAAATTTCGTGCTTCCTCGACAAATGTGCTTCGCTCCCAATTGTAAAGCAATCTGTCATCTGTGATTCACTTTCTATGGAGGATGAGATTCGCATACTGAATGAATATTTTCAGGGTACGACTCAGTGCGATGTGTAAATGGTACATTTCCAAAGACCTGAAGCAAGATAATCCCGTTGCACGCAAACAGCCGATATGTAATGCCTTGGAACCAAAGTTTCGTTAGCATGGTTTCACTTGATTTGACGTATGCTTAGTTTGAAGAGTAACGATTGGGCATGATGCCTGTAAAATTCACTTCAACTGACTTCCAGGGTAACGGAGAGGCGCACGAAGATCAAACTAATGAATAGGTCATCAATGACTGCTGGCTGCCACGCGCCGAAGTCCGGCATCGCTTCATCAAACTTGGCGATAAAAGTGTCCTTTCGGAGCTGTTGCCGTGACTGCGGTCACTTTTTCTGTCTCTATAACAGTCCATGTCCATTTCTCACTGTCGCTATGCTTTCACTAAGTCTATGTCACGAAGCTTTAATAAAACACGAAAGCCTCCTTCAGCAATGTTTGGAAGACCGCTGTCTGCACACGCAGATTTCCATTTCTCCCCATTGAGGTATCTTGAGTCGACACAGCGATGATCTGGAGCCCAAGATCAAACTTTGTAATCACTCGACATCGCCACTGTTATACTGTTACAGTGTTCACGTAGTAGCAATTCTGAAGGCCTGCCGGAGTGCATTCTGAAGGCCTGTCGTAGTACATTCTGAAGGCCTGCCGTAGTACATTCTGAAGGCCTGCCGTAGTACATTCTGAAGGCCTGCCGTAGTGCATTCCCGTTTGTGCAACGAGGGAAGGTCCGCAGTTTACGACTGTTGCACGCTAGACAGAAGGTGGGCACGCATGAAGAAACTCTACGATACCTGTCTGGCACGTGGATTTGCGAGCTACTATGGTATTCTACCACGTACGTATCCACGTTTGTTACCTTTTCGAGCATTGATGTGCATGCTTTGTGTTGTACACTGACTTGTTCTTTAATTCATATCAATTCCAGCATTTTCGCCGGGAACCTACTTCTGAAACGTGTTGTGCCACTTTTCTTAGGCATGCCTATATTTCTTCTTCTCCGGACAACCGTGCTGACTGTGTACGTTTGTCGTTATCAAACGTTTATTGTTCTGCTCGCACATGTCGCCAAGCAGTACTCGAATGGACAGGGTGATGACTTGTAACGACGGTGACGCATTCAAAACGGAAGTTATCTTGCTGATAATCGCGTTCGTACAGGCCGCATCACTCACGCCGTGCAGAAGGGGTGATAGCTGAGGGCTATCATTTGCACTTTAGTCTGCAGATCCATTTATCATCAGCTGATACACCGTATCATCTACACTTGGAGGCAGAATGGTAGCTGAAGAAGAATTCACCACATTGGCTACCAATCCAATTGCTGCTACTGGCTTTTCACCTAGGGAAAGCTATGTTTGTTGTTTCTTTAGAGAAATTCAGGAGATGGGAGAGGGAATAAGTCGCCGAAACCCTATTACTTTGTTTGCCTTAGAACAAAACAAAAGGAATGCTGCCACTCTTGGACTTTGCCTTTACCTGTAACGATGTGAACTAGAGCACATTACTATCGGCATTTGCCTTCCATATGATCCATGCTTATGTCCAACATTTGCACAATTACAACGTAAAGAGAAAACTACTTAAAAAGGACGCTGTCAACTGATTTGAAAGAATATCATTCAAGCTTCTGCTATTTAAGAACATACTTTTTCTGGTTGGTCGTGCGCCTCTAACTTTATTCGAGGGTCACGCGGACCTCAAGCCGTTGTTTTGAAACTGCACGCCAGACCGGTACGCCCTCGCGCTATGAAACTGGGTGGATTTTCTTGAAAATGAATTTGTCCGGACCTATAACAATCTGGACTTCCTAAACCAGTCGAGGGCGACAACCAGGCACGGACTTTGGACGGTAGCGTCTGAACGAAACCGGCGCTGTTTGAGGCCGACGTGTCGGCCACATATCTTTGGACTACATCTTGGGCAATGTTTAACCTGAAATGGGTCGGAGCACGGCAGATTACATCAGGGGCGGATCACATCTAGGAGATGTGCGACGCAATGCAGACTGGCAGGTACGGATTCAGGAGTATAATGGCAAGAGGTTGCCTTTTTTGGGGTGCATATTGACTTAGGCCAGGTGACTTGTGGAAACAATGCATTCTTACTAGTTTGTGGAGGCTATCGTAGGTTCCAATGATAATAAACTTCGGTTGTTTATTTCAGTTGCAGAAATTTGCACATTGCATTGTGCTTGAACACTTGCAGCGTGTTACACTTTATGTGCTTGAATGCAGAATGCATTCTTTTATGTAACGTGCGCTTTGGGTACACTCAATACGTGACATAATACAGCCTTTTATCGTCTTTTCTTGCCTTCGGCGCGCCATTGACAGCACTTTTGGAAGGTTCTTGCACCAAAGAACGGACGCGCTCCGGCCATGAATTTGAGGCCTAGAACAACAAAACAGCTTCGTAGCTAGCACGATCTCCATATAAAATGGGCTTACGCGTAGGAGTCAAACAAATTTTGCCGCGTTTAAATGGTTTAGACTTACGAGTAGCACGCTCCTAATATTTACTCAGTGATTCGTTCAAAAGATAAAAACCAGCCTGGATACGACCATCAAAACACGTTATGCCTTAGCACAGCATACGCGATAGGACGGCATCGCTCAGTCACATGTACTGGTCGAGTGAAATGGGCTCGAAACTCAGCTAGTTTCATATTTCCGTAAAAAGAGCCTGCCAGGACGCTTTGCAGATTGCAACGTGAGTAACTGAACTAAGTTAGAAGTCAGCTATCACATCAGAATTACACAAAAGCGTAAGTCCCAGTCCTGTACCACAATGTCCGCTCGCCCGTGTTTGGCTGTCGGGTTCAGGCCGGTTCAAAGGCAGAACAGCGGCCGGGCTTCCAGTAGACGCTGAGGAACTGACCCCCTATGATCGCCAAACACTCCAACTGACCCCTTCTGAGCGCCAAACACTCAAGCTGCCCCCCTCTGAGTGTCAAACACTCAAATTGACCTCCTCTGAGCGCCAAACACTCCAACTGACCCCCTCTGAGCGCCAAACACTCCAACTGACCCCCTCTGAGAGCCAAGCACTCTAACTGACCCCCTCTGAGCCAAACTCTAACTGACCCCCTCTGAGCGCCAAACACTCCAACTGACCCTCTGAGCGCCAACACTCCAACTGACCCTCTCTGAGAGCCAAGCACTCTAACTAACTGACCCCTGATCGCCAAACACTCTAACCCGCACACGCATGCCCTCCTGATAGACAGTGGGTTAGAGCGTTGCCCTCGTCAATCCACGTGCAGCGAGGCGCGTTCGATTCCCCTTAGTGCTCGCTATTTGCCCTTAAACCAGCTATGGCCCGAGGGGAAGGACGAACCTGGCCGAGCATAGCGGCACTGCAAACCTTTCGTTGCCAACTTTGTAGTTGACCTGAAAATTCCATGATCAGATGGTAGGGTCCAGGGCTCACAACATAAGCGCCGCTTAGCGTGAGCTCTGATCTCAGAAGTCCTCCATTCGAAGGTTCAGATCTGCCCCGCGAGGCTGGCAAGTACATTTGCTCGTTTACAAGACCCGCTGGCTTGTTGAAGAGCTCGTGAACGC